TTGGGTTTAAGTCGAGCTTAAGCGAATAACAATTATATATCATGTAGCTATGTTTTTTTTTCATCAGTGGTCACGCGCATTTCTGATATTCACGCATATATGGTAACATGCTATATTCGACAGCACCGCAAAACCGACAGCGGTCATCTTCGTCTCGTTAAACTATCGACCGTTTATTATTTTTCTTTGGGCGCATACAATCATATTTCTTAATAAGTATTGACGGCGGGAATGAAACAGAAAAAAAAAATGAAAGTGCATGTTTCTATATAAATCCGTTTCCCGTTGGTCTTCTGTAAGGAGTTACCGTAGTAACCATGTAGTATATATATATATATAAACACAAGTCGGCCAACGAAAACTGTAGCCAAAAATACAAAATGATTAATGTAATATTACGGACGGAAAGGAAAAGTGGCCGGGTCTTCCATGCATGGTAAGACAATTACGCCAAGCCCAAAACAACAATTATCACAGTGACCAAGTTTTCATTATTTATTTATTACCTTTTTGAAAATGTTTAACATAAGGCGACTGTTATTATAAATATATTCAGTTCTCAATATAATTGCAATGCGAATTAATGGAATAAAATACAATATTCAATCTTCGGACGCACGATCTCCAATTTTTCCAATCAACAACTGTCAATGCTCTATGGCGCAATCAATAATCGTTATATTTCGACATATCATATACAAGTAATTTCGCTGCATTGTCCATGTGTAATATTATTTTTTTATTGATTATTATAATATAAAACAGGACCGTGGCTGTACTGTATATACAACATCATCATCATAATCGTTAAATGCATACATAACTGTTATTATTGTAATAATAAGCGTACAGTGGCTGTTTTTTCGTCGAGACGTTACTTGACACGACTTGGGCATAACTTCGGCTGAACCTTAGGATATTAAAGACATACTTCGGTTACCAAAATCTGCCTTTGCCGTTGTTGTAACATTTTATCGGTTCTTTAACATTTGATTAAAAAACAAACCGTTACCGTAGTTTTGCAAACACCTAATGTATATTAAGTCGTCATACTCGCTCAGGCACTTATTGTATGTTTACAGCATAATGTTACTATTTTCCAGGTGTGTGGTATATGAGAAATTGGCTATTTTTGCTGGAATTCGATAGTGAGAGTACCAACCGTACACTATGATTACAACACGCGTACATAGGACATAATAGTATGTATAGTTTTTTTTATGGGGACACACATTGTGTCAATAGTAAACGGTTATCAAAAAAAAAACCGTTTGTACTATTTTAAGCGCGTATTCTATTTCACACATTTATTTTTTTAAATATATTTATTTATTTATACAATCGTTTTACTTATTTGAACAACAAGTATAATGGATCTGATATTATTAAACATGACAAGACCGAGTGAAGTAGTCTGCCAGTGGAGGTACTTCAACGAGAATTTATAGTGTTGATATAAATGGATTAAGTTAATTAAATACAAACGATTAAGATTTATACATTTCTTATAGTAAAACATAATAATAATATACGAGTACAAAACATAACGCTAGTTAACAAATTATATTAGTTATAATAGATTATCTGTCTGCGAATGATTTTCGCAATAATGTATATTTTACTGAGAGAGCCTAAGTATCCCGTAGACATTAGTTTATGGTACTACGATACCATATTCAATAGGAATAAAGTAAACTATAAAAATACTACTACTATGTGTAGTATAGATATTTTAGTTACATATAGATAATAGTATTAGGTATGTTTGAATTTTAATAATATAATATTGTGTACCGTGTACACAGTGTACGCCATGTATAATTTTACAGTTTATCGCTTGCGTGTAATGTCATGTCTTAATCCCTGGCCCTAAACCTCTGCACGCTTCCATTTTATATTGCAATTGAGTAATCGAAGAACGATAATAATAAATAAGAACGTACCTATACCTATTATATTGTTGGCTAATATCATGACTAATTGACAGTTTAACTGCTTTAACATCGATTTAGGAGCATACAATTATAATAATAATAATGTAAGTACATGGTTGTGCGCGTACGGACCACGAAAACTGTTCAGATGTCGGCGATTGTGCCATTATCGTTGTTTTGACATTGTTTTGTTTTATTTATTTATGTTTTATGTACCTTCCGGCCACACTAATGGGGAGGCGTATCCTTTTCCAACTCGCCCACCACGGGGCACGCCAACGCCAACGCCTCGGACCAAAAGCGTGGACATCAAAAATCATAGGACAGGAACACGCTTTTTAGTTTATCTAGATTATAAAATTAAAAAAGAAAAATATTGGGACTCCGGACCGTTTTCTGTCTCTCCGGCCAGAGAGAATCGAAAAAACTTTTAGCGAAACATGTTCATTGAATTTCGAGTCCGATAACGTTGATCGGTTATTACTTTTTAATAACAAAAAAAAACCTTGCCAACGGGCTATAGCCCCTATCCTCCCTATTGTTACGGTGCAGTGCGGTACCGTTACTCTATGATTTCAGTCATTTGAAGTAGTTCGATCGTGTGGTATTATAGGTGACCAATGAGGGTATAATACATATGGCCAGCGTTAACCAAACAAACTGTCGGCATTGTTTTAAACTTAATACAATTTGACAGCACGTATAACCTTCGCCTCTGCCACCGACGCAGCCTTATTAATTTCACTTTCTATCTGCTGACAAAATCGTTAAACTAGTTCAGAAACAGTATAGTATTCGCGATCAGACGGCTGGGGTATCTGCGTAATTCATGAAATAACATTAAAAAAAAACAAACGGCTGTCCATTCATACTGTGGTGCGATGACAAATGTTTATCGGTTTTCTCCTTAAACGTGACGACCGCGTCAAGGTCCATTAGTCTACTTAGCCGAGAGGTTTATATTTCTTGCCCCTCTCTCTATGTCTCTCTTTCTCCCCTCGTGAGGATTGAACAGGCGGCGGTCGAGTCGTCCTGACCGGGTCGGGTCTAGGTCAACGCTACCATAAATAAGTACCATAGGTTTAGATATTGGGCGTCCCTCAGCTTTTGTATAATCGTTTTTGCGCGTTCCCCTGTCGTCTACAGTAAATAATATCCTAACCGCGCAGACCGCCAAGGATTTATTCGCTGTGGTGGGTTAATATACTGTCTTTACCCTCATCTAATATACATGATATAATGTGTGTGAGTGCGTGTATAGATTTGACCGTGACACGAAAAACGCTGGTTCAAAAAAAGAAGCCGGTGGTCGGTTGCGACAGTCACGATTCAAAAGGTGGAATCGCACGGAGGTCGGAGGGCTTCTGCCGCAGGAGCCGTCGTTCTCTGACCGGTTGGGTCAATAAAAATGCATAAATGCTAGGAAACATATTATAGTGATGCATAGAATCTAGCTATCTCGCAGGAGATTGAATTCTAAAGTGAATGATAATAAGGATTTCAGGATAGTGACGAAAAGATTCAAGTGCGCCGTCTAGAGAAAAGAATCATACTACCTATAGTGAAGATTAGCTTTAAATCAGAAAACAGTAAATGATAATTTAGGACAGGTTTCGAAATGACAACAACAGCACATATAAACATTGACAGAATATACAAGAAAACATATACACTACTTTAAACACATGTTTACTTTAAATTAACATTTGTTTCATTTAGTATGTTTCAATTACTTTTATCTTTACGGTTTTTTTGGGTTTCTTAAAGGGTCCCCAAACTCTGTGTGCTCAAGGGCCCCTACATAGCCTAAGACGGCCCTGATAATAGTCGTATTACCTTAAATTCCTTTCCTTTATAGTTAAACTAGTATTGTCTGAACTAATATTATTCATCGGTGGACGTTTGTTTAGTGAATTAAGTTAGGATTACCTACTGGAAACTTTCAATCATTATTTATGTTATTTATATTTTTATTTATAACTTGTTCATTAGTCATCCAAAATTAAAACACATTGTTAAAACCACAGAAAGTCCGTTTTTTTTAGGAATAATAATTTTACTAAGTACAGGTAAAATTAAGTCAATAGGATATTTTTTAAATATATCGCATGAAGCAATTGTTTGCGACATTACTACATATTATTTAAAATGATTTTTCATTCATTACATTATGTACTTTACTGTTGCGAATCGTGACTTAAAAAATGCGACATAGGTACATTAGACCGTGTTCGTTTGATTCGATCGGTAATTTGTTGTTTTATAGGTAAAAAAAAATATATATATATATATATATTAGATACCTATAGGTACTGTAGTTGAACCCGGGTTGGGTCTCGCTTGTTAACGGTGTTTAACATTAATTTGTATATAGTGTAGGTTTGATTTCGTTCGACAGTGGTAACGTTGCGCTGAAAACCGTTTTGCCGCGGTTATTGCGAAATCACGTCAAACCAGCTATTCCCCGCCGTCATCAAATCTAACCGAGAGCAACAGACGGCGACTAGGAGAGAAGATGGAAAAAAAAAAATGAAAAATTACCGTTTTCACGGCTGTTATACGTATAGGACGGGGGGCAACGACGCGACCGCGGTGTCATCTCGGTGTTATGAATTATAAAAAAAAATCTCTAAATATATATATAACAGTAGTAATAACACTGATAATATTAAAAAAAAATTGGCGGTTATCAAAGAGATAAATCGTAGTGTTCGGTTTTCACTTTACGTTTCTATTTCGACTCTTCATCCAATTGCCGCGCACGTTTAAGACGATTATTATTAATTTCCTTATCCGTAAAGCCGTTAGATTTTTACTAAAGCATAATAAGTGCGAGAATAAAACTGTTGAGAGTATATTTTGTTCCTTGTAACAATCATACTATACTATGAGTATTGTAATTCGTATTTTTTTTTTCTATAAAATAATTATAATTCACAAAATTTAGAAAACAGTTATTGTTATTTTTCGCGGTGTATTTTCGAGTTCAGTTTTTTTTTTTTTTTTTTAATTTGAGAGACTCAAACGGCATTGATAAGTAGGTATAAATGTAACAGATTTATTTACCGGTACGTTTCTTGATTTTCACTCCGTCGTATGTGGTGCAGTTCTCCGAGTTGGTGTTCGTCACGACGATGGTGGACTGTACCGTGGCATCCAGCACGACCAGCGCCAAGACGGCCAAGAGGCACACGTGGTAACTACTTCGGTACATGGTCGATGCGTTTATCGCGACTTTGAAATTGGCGCGTTTCGTGTGCGCAAAAAAAAAAGGAAAAAAAAGGGAGAAATTATAAGTACAAAACACACTACGGTTGCCTGCACGAATGTGCGCGCATTTAATATACGGAACGGATCAAAAACAAAAAAAAAACCGAAAACCGCGGTAAACGTATTACAAAAGAAACCTAACCGTACGGTGATTGGAGCGATTTTCGTACTCGAGCTTATTATGTTTGATGTAAATATTATATTCCAGCGGTGGCGGCGACCGGGCAGCAGCAGCAGCACCGTGTGCTATTCAGAAGAAAGTGGGTCCTCGTGTCGGACCAACACTCGCGAATGGACTGAATTTCTTGTCGGCCGCGATTAATTGACTACACTACTCTCTTTTAACGACCTCACCACCACCGCCACCACCGCAGTCATCGCACGCAGCGCCGTCGTCAGTGTGTTTGCCTTTCCATTTCTTCGCCTTCCGACGACGGCTCGCGCTAATACTCGCCCGGTTTTACCTTCGATTTTTATTATTTTTTTTTTGCCACCAGATCCCGTGTATATGATGGCGGTGTACACGCGCTGCCGTTACAATCGTCATTATGATAATTATAACAATAATTACATTGACGTGCGCAGTACCGTCTAACGGCCGGGACGTTGTGCCATCCTCCGGCACGGATGTCGATAGATGACAGATAGTCGTACAATATGGTAACACTAAGCGTGTGCGCGCTGTGATTACCACAAAAATCATATGACGAATACCCTTTGTAAGACACTCAATACCGCGTTGCCCGAGTGCGTATGTTATAAAAAGTTATAACACAACACTATACCGGAAATAACTACACGCGCAAGGTTAGCCGGATGGACATCCGTGCCATCCTCCGGTACCGCGGATGACCATCGATCTATAAATAGATAGTCGTACAATGTAAATAAGCAAGCACACTGTAATTACCACAAAAATATGAAAAATATCCTTCGGAAAACATCCGATACCATGTTGTCCGGCTGTATAAGACTATAACACAACACTAAACATTTTAGGTTGAAATAACTAATTATTCGCCAAAAATACATTTTCGATTTATAATAAAAATATAGTAACTTACTTTCTTAATATATAAAAATATATACAACAAAAAAAGTTTTAAAAATCCAGCACAGTGCGGTCGGGGCATAGTGACGTCGGTGTGTATGACTGTACTAGGAATAAGCAATAAAATCACTAAGATAAAACCCTTCAATGCGAGTCTGTAGATAGTTCAAATATGATACATCGATAAAAATCATTGTAAAGACAATAATGTACCTTGTAAGTTGTATTTATATTGTTAGGATACGATTAGGGTTTATACAATGTGGCAACCTGAAAATTAAATACGGTGTAATCTCCTAGTTTTTTGGTTTCTAAAAGAAAGTTTGAATATAGACTTTTTTGAAAATTGCAATTGTTATAGCCACACTCTAGCTTCAGTCCAATATTCAGACTTTTAGTCTCAAAATTATGCTCGAAAAATTTACCAAAGAATATTTTTCTATCCCTTTTAGAAAAAAGGGATTTTGATATTTTTTTGGTTTGACAGATTATATCGATAATCTAAAGAATATTCCAAACACGTTTGGTACAATTCGACAGTTAAAAAAAAACCTAGGGTGCCGTTATTTTTAATTTAAAAAATATATGCATTTTTGGGGTGTTTATGAAGGGGAACGGAAAGAGTGAAGTTTTCAAGTGTTGGCTATCAAAATCAGAAAAAAAATAGATGGAACTTTGAGATGATTATTCGCACATAGGTAACAAATATGATAGTGGTATTGTGAAAAAATTGATGTTTCCACGGTATGTATATTTCTCTATGTATTTTTTCTCACAACCCTTCTCCCCACCCCCTAAGTTTATGTTGTCTACTGCATTGGATCTCAGTCGTGGGAATTAAGTATATACAATCACATAGGCAGGCAGACGTTCTATTATGACTTAATGAACTATACATATATTATGAAATATCGTAGAAATGATATTATTACATTCTCTCTCGTAGTAAATAGGATATACAGGAAAAACATATTATGTTTTCCCCTTGTATCCGCCCCTGTTTTTAATTTAATTTTCTACATGACTGTATAAAATACTCTGAATGAATATATCACTGGTCAATTTGGTATTTACTGTTTAAGGGATCGCTAAATATTACTAATCATAAATGTCTAATTCTTAAATGTTTAAATTCCCGTTATTGATCTATATCATTCTATGTTACTGTAAAATTTAATAATTACAAATGACTAGAAAGAACGTCATTCATAGAATGTATCATTTGAAAACGGTCGACATAATTTATATTTAATTGACAATATACTACTATAGTCATATTTGATATTAGTATATTATAATAATAACTACTCGCCCATTAGGCAGATGACCATTTAAAGTGAAATGAAGGTAAAAGAAATAAACAAATAAATAGGCATCTAGTAGGTAATCGGATCGTTAAAATAAAACATAGAAATAAATGTCATCATATAAACATACATCTACCTGCTGTTGGATTAAATCTAAATGGGAATATTATGTATAGCATGCGTATGCATTATTGTATGTATGCATACATACACTATGCTTATGTTTTTTTCTTAATGGAAGTAACTGCATGCACTTTTGCTCGTGTCCTGTTTTATCATAGGAAAAACGCTGATGCACGTTAAAGCCCGTTGCCCTGTTCTATGTATGTCAAACTTAATGATGATTTTTGTCTTTCATTATTTTTCCGAGCTGATAGGCCTTGGATGGTTTAAATTGAGCAACTTAAATAATCGTCGCATGGGAACGATTTGATGAAATCATGTAATTCATAAAAAAAAGTAAATAATTATTTGGGTATTAGTATTATATACGTGTTAGATATAGGTAAATTACGTGAAGTGAAAGTTTTATACATGTGACACTGTTTAATTTGAATTGAAAAAAAAAAACAAAATCTCAGCATTTAAAATATACTTATTTAAAAATAAAAATCATTTTTCAACTGTATTGTTACGTGTAATATATTGTGTACGTTGAAAATATATATTTTATTCTAATGAAATCTTTGTAAACTGTTAAACATTATAATTATTCATTTCGAACGATTTTTAATTAGTAACAATATGATAAATACATTTTGTGTATGACACTTACATTAGACAGATACGTTCCAATCAATTAATAATTAGTTTGTTAAACCAGTGCAAATTATAAGAAATATAAATATTTTGACTTTTTAGAATCATAGAAGTTTTAATGTGACGATTATAAAAACATGTATTTGTGAAACTTAACTGTTATTTGGTATTGATTTTATAACAAGCTATGATATTAAATAAAGATCTAAAATTTTAAATATATAGTATAACTTTAAAAGGTTAAATGTTTATTAATTAATATTCACTTTAGGAGTGAATACACTCAATACATACAATACATCAAACATACAATTTATTTTACAATATAGGTAACTTTAAACAATAAGAATAATGATAAGACATTTATAAAGTTTTTCAATCGTCATAAAATATAATTAAAGTTAATTACGTAAAAACATAATCTATATTATTTATTTATGAACTACAGTACTTTACTATTAAAATTTAAATTGACGAACTGTAACAAACAGAAGTATTAGATAAAAATTACAAAACAAATGTAAACAGAATGATGCTATTATTGGTCAGACAACATAAAAAATACAATTCATCGGCTTTTTTAATGTTAATAGAATTAATAATTAAGTTTCATAGAAAATTACCGTTTAGTAGAAATGAAGATAAAAAGACAAACTATTGCATTTATAATAATCATTGTTTTAATCTGCATGTATATAATAATTATTATTTATCCTTTTGGGATGTATTAATGCTCAACTCAAAGCTATTTTTTAGCTGTTGAAATTCTATTCCATATAATGTAGACATGTAGCTAACTAATATTTACAGTATGCCAAACTGATCGTGTTAGAAAGCCAAGCTCTAAGCTCACTGCCATTACGCTAACTTCATATGTTTCATTTTGTATATGTATTTACCTGATAGATTTGTGGTAAAGCATAAGAGTTTTTGTTAAACATGTGTTAAATACAATATTGAACTGTTAAAGATCAAACTAGTAATAAGACCTTAATATTTACAAAATTCTATATTGAAATTATGTATGATTTTTCTTAAGTAATTTTAATGTTTTTACTTATCAAATTAGCAGCAAGTAACCTAATTTCTTTGCTTGATTCACCACTTTATGAAATCGATCGTGCGATCAATGCCACTTTCCAGCAGTTTATATTTATCAAAATACAACCCAGAACCCTATTAAGGGTTTGATACTCGTATAAATAGGGTTATACGGCTGAGATAACTTCAGTTATAGACTTAAGTTTTTCTCAAACGTTAAAAATCTCGGTTTTAAAAATATTCTCTCTTGTCGACCTCGGCAGCTACCCTTTTTACACTCTGATGGCCGTCTTCGACCTTGCACCCATTTAGCCCGATGTGAGCCGCACGGCGATTCACTTTCGATCTACGTTCCCAGGAATCTGTCGCCTGCCCGAATAGTATGTAATATACAAGTAGGTAAGTATTGTATTTTTTTTTTCTGCTTCGGTTACTTGTATCGATTGACCGCGGCGATTTCGAAACGATCGGTGTGCGTTGTGCTCCAGTTTCATCACACCGCGGCAATCCGCAAGAGCCCATCTCATCTATATACGTTCCTGGCTGCGTTTCGTACGTATTTGTCCACTCTTGTAATTTGCTCGAGCGAACCCACAACAAACGGCTGTCGGTCGTGGGAACCAGAATACATTTTAGACAAATAAGGTAAAGACAGGGCTCTCCGCTCCACCGCGATAACTGTTCGATTCACGACGTTCGCCAGATGCACCGTCTTCCGAGTACGCAGTGGGGAGCAAATAATGGGAAAAAAGTAAATATATAAAAATAATTATAAATAGGTTCATTACCTGTACAACTTGCAGCGTCCGTGACTTTCTAAATGGTATAAACACCGAAAACGCATTTCTGTCGTTCGGAAAGAGTGCGGCAGAGTATAGTATAATTCGTATTAATGGCTAATGATCTCATTCTTATCAATACCGATGGCTTAATAACCGATAATTACTTTATTGATCCGATCCGGCTTACGAGGAAAACAAATATTATCTATTGTCGTTTTATATTGTGTTACGCTTGCGTAATCTATCGCAGCCTTTATGTATGGTATTTCTCGGCCGGTCCAGGATGTATGTTTTACTATTGTCGCTTTGGGTAGAAGATGTCTGTACCTACCCGGAGCCAAGCCACGTATAGTCGGCGAAGATGATAAATAGATAATATCG